TGATATTAATCATGTGACGAAATTACAGTATTACCACGATAATTATACTGATGATGAAATGTATTTGTTCGTTCACGAACACAGCGCAGCCAATTAAAGATCTATAATTCTCTCTCTCTCTCTCTCTCTCTCTCTCTCTCTGATTCTCTTTATGTCGTATTTATCGCCGAAAATCTCTGAAGAAGTACAACAGAACTTTATATGCATCGGTTTAAAGATTAAACCCGATGGCTATGAAAAATTACTTGTAAAATACAGGTACAAAATGTGTCTTCCAGACAGTGAAACGAAAGTCACTTGAGACAAAAATAAATTTAAATTTTCAAAAAAGTACAAAAGAAGTTAATAAAGCACATAAAAGTAATAAACGTACTTTATTGCAACTTGTTGCTACTCATATAGCACACACCTCCCAGGACGTTTTAAAGAGGATAATGGAGTATATAACAGAGAAATAAGGACATTCTCTACATTCTAAGGATGCGTTCTCTCAGGGAAAGTGTGCTTGTTTGCATATAAGTCTTCCTTGAAATTAAATATCGAGTAACCGCATTATTTCGTATCAAATTATTTTTGTAAAATGTACCCAGATATAGCAGAATGCTAGCAGTTTTCTGGCCGCAAATTCGATTCCCACCGTAGATCCATCTGTGTCCGCATTAAGTTTAGGATCTGTTGACAGAGCCTGCTGACATGCTATGCCAACAAATTAACGATAGAAATAACCGAGCAGAATCTGCACGCGCGGACAATCTGACGGCGGATTGACAACAGAAACCGAGCAGGAGCTGCAAATCTTGCTCGGTATCTACCGTCAACTTGCTAGCACAGCATTATATCTGCAAGCTTTGCCATATTTCTAGCGGCAATTTGCCGATGTCATCAAACATTACAGATTAGTAATAAAAAACAAGAATAAAGCGAGAATAGAAATAGAATAGAATAAAATTAGTAATAGAATTTGTTTGCCTTTTTGTTGTCTTCAGAAATTCGCAGTATGCTCTATTCAAAATATCTGCCTTTGTAGATGTGACTATCTGGAGTATTGGAGGTGAGAAATTCAATTTTTGACTATTTACATGCTGTACAAACGTGGTGTATGTCGTCCCTATATAATTATATACATAAGCATGGCGTAAACTTGCGGATTTGCTAATTCGCCAGCAGAATAATCACTTTCAATACCAGTCAACAATCGATTTCTCGAATTCTCGAAGAACAAGGACAGAAAGAAAGAGAAAGAGAGAGTCTTATCTTTATTTTTTTTGTCTTACTAATAATTGAAATAATATTATAACCTGCGAAAGTAAAACATTCCTCCTTAGACAAGATGAAATTCTCTCCTGGAAGTGCAGAGAGTGTAATTATAAATAATTTCGTCAAATTTGTTTCGTAAGACATTCCGGGAATGACTGCCGTTCTTTGCTGCGACTGATACAGTGGCCATTAAGTATGCTTATGAATTATACTGTATTACTGACGAATTACGCCGTCCTTAATGTATAGAGCTGCTAAGGAACGCCACGTTAAATGGACCAAGATTGCTGCAATTAAGGGAAATCTAATGTTATCTGTTATCAATTACTATTCTGGATTCGGAAAATTCGTATAAGAACATTTGATCGCTTTCTTTACATAGTAAACTAATCGTTTTTATACTCATAATTTAATTTGAATAAATAAATTCATGGATTTGTGAAATACATCACGAGATTTATGAAAAATTCGATACTGCAAAGAAGCGACAGTAACGAAGGAAGATGCTACAATAACAAAGCGATTTTCGATTCATTCAAATTCGTATGAATACGCGGATCTGCTCGCTTTGCGTTCGCTTGGCTCAACACGTTCCGTGGCGCGTTAATTTTAAATAACTTATCCACCATGCCGCGTGAATTACTAGTAATTCCGCGCGGCATGGCAGTAATTAGTTTGATTAAAAATAATGGTTAAAAAGTACAATTATTATTATAAAAAATGGCCTAATGTATCTGATATCAGATGTCCCGCTTTTGGTAGAACAATCCTGCTTTCGAAGTAGTTGTTTTAGCAAAGAAGTCCCGCTCAAAAATATTTTATAAACTTTGCGAAATTATATTCGTAAAACTATCTCTACACGGAAAGAAAATGGTCTGAACGGAAAGTCCAACTTTTCTTTGGTATGTCTCTTTAACGAGTCCGATTTGATCAGAGTATACAGTATTTATAGTAGTAAAAAAAATGGCCATGATTCTTCGATGAGAATCAACTATTGTAAGTCAGAAGGTCAGAATCAAATTATGCACAAGGCAGGCAAGGTATATATTTGTAGATGTGTGTATGTGTAGCTGTATGTGAATTTCCGTACAGTGTATTGAACTCAAGTTCGCGGAATCGTTAAGCCCGTATAGGATTGCACAAATCAATCCCTCCCGTACGAGCGGAAAGTCGAACGTGGATCACCAATGATCCACGCTCGCGGCATGGAATGTGTTAAAACGCGAGATTCCACGAAAATCGTGGAGTTTTTTCTCTCACGTTGCACGCGATTGACGAATTGTCTTTTGTCTCCCATCGAACGTTCGTTCCCGTTCGCAGTTTTTTTGTTAGTTCGCACAAAGCTTAAGCTAATTGAAAATGTGCCGTCTTGTGATTTTTCCTTTCGCCTTTTCCTGTCACTGCGGCGCGACGGGGAAAGAGAGAGAGAGAGAGAGAGAAAGCGCGGTACGCGAGACAGCGTATCTTTCTCAGCGCGATAAAAAAAAAATGATATGTCTTCTTACACATCTAGGAAGGATCAACAGCGCTTTCTTAACTCGCTCGCTCGCTCGCTCGCTCGCTCGCTTGCTTGTCGCCTTTGCAAGACTTTTGATATTTCTGTAGGATATAGAATATTCTGGCGCTTTCTCCCGACACACGCGACAACAAGTTAGGACCCGTATGACACTAGAAACTAGACGCTACTAGAAAGTGTAGTATATAATTTGTTACGTATATGCGGTAGAACACGGACGAGTTTACGTCGGCGTGAAAGGTGGGCTCAGACAATCAATATTTGGAACAAATGGAACAAAAAATGAAAGTGAACCTTCAAGAATCAATTGATCGTGAGATAAGCACGAGTTTTACCAAAATTTTAACCAGTAAATTATGTATGTATACATTTTTTCAGAAAAAGAACTATATATTTACAAATTTCATATATAAATACATAATTATATATTTATATATATATATATATATATATATGTTACTTGTACACAATGTATTATATTATTGAAATATATAATACATTTATGTAGTTTTATATATATAAAATTTGTATGTAGTCTTTTTTCTAAAATCGAAGATACCGAAGATAATTATCGACTCCATAATGCTCGTACATAATCGATATTGGAAATTCGGAGGCATGCCAATGTATACTCGGATTGAAAATAAATATTGATCCTCTGAGGAATCTTACAAAAAAATAAAATAAAATTTGGTTATTGCCATGTCAATCTGCGTGAAAGAACGTCGGATCTCTCGTTACAGGCGCGTATACGTAGAGGAAATGGAATTAAAATGACAAGACGGTGCTGAGAGAAGTCATCGAGATGCCTCGCTGTGCCGTTTCACGGATCACATTGTGTATCGCAGGTGAACACAAACGTTCCAGCGCGCTCGTTCTTCTCGCGTTCGCGACGCGCGTAGCGATGTCGCTTTGGGAGAGGCTCGTGTTCACGTACCACACGTTTAAAACGATCGACTCTGAACGTACAAGCTAAACCCTCTGCCCCCCTCCCTCCCCTCCTCCCCCTCCGCCGATCGTCCCTTGCCGTATTCGTATTTTCATCCCACGCTCATGTCGAGTTCCTTCGGAACAAGAAACTTTGAGACCACGAAGTCCATCCAAGTCGGGTGGGCTGCGTTTAACGCTAAACGCGATGCCGAGCATGAATACGAGCCCCAGACACATTTTATCGGGGAATTATTAACGCGTTCGTGAAACATATCGAACACGAGATATCACCGCGATACGTCGGCACTCCTAAACGTTTGCCGGATATAAAAATGTAAATTTCGATCTCACATACACACACGCACGCACGCACGTACACATACACACACACACACATATACACATACAATCTTTCCCCATTTGTATGTGCTCCGTGGGTGGGCACAGTGTGCTCTGTGATATACAGCGAATCGCTTAAAGCCAAGCACGCGCGTCTCTCGCGACGAGTCGGTCGGTGTAGAGAAAGGCACGCAATGAGAAATCGGAAGGATACACTAGTCCAAGAATAAACGGAAGGACGCTTCTCTCGCGTTCCTCGCGCTTTTTCTCTTTCTCGAATATCCCAAGTTTCCAAGCGCTCGGAATGTAACGGAGCTTCGATTACGCGACGCGTGTTTTTTTTTTTTTTTTTTTTTAATCAGGAAGGGATGTCCGGAAGGCAGCATTCCGACCAACTGTCGAGCGCAATTTTTTTCCTCGAATTGACGGTGACGTCGATTCTCTTGAGTGTGCTTGAACAGGATTACCTAACGCAAACGCAAATAAAAAATAAATAAAGATAATTTCAACGAAAACACTCGCGAAGCTGATTTTACGCGTTGTTTCAGCTTGTAATAGGTAGCACTCCTCTTGCGAAACGCTCGATATCGTAACTAATACTATTGAAGCTTAAGAGGGGAACAAGAGATTTTTGTCATTTCAAATTGAAGGCGAAATTTACGAATTTATTACAGGGAAAGAAATAAGTGGAAACAGTAGTTCTCTGTTTAATAATTTACTATTATATTTGAGATGTGTGTAGAAAATTAATTTGTAATACAAAACTTATTAAAAGTATAAGAATTTTTTTGTCATATTAAAAACAATAAAATTATCGAGTGCCTCACATTTTACATCACGATTCCGTGATTTTTAAGGAAGTAATTTGCTATTTTCTGATCTAATTTTCCTCGAGAAAACACTTTGCTCAGATTGAATCTAAAATAAAAAAATCTTATTACAAAATGTTACACACAACAAACGTAAAATTATTTTGCGCGCACGCGTTATTTACATTGTCATCATTTTGTAATATTTTTCTAACAGTCTAGATTTTAGATTCAATCTGTAGAACAGTGTCCCGCAGATACTAGACTAGAAAATAATATGTTGTTTCCTTAGAAGTCAGAAACAAAACGCGAGGTACTCGAAATTTTCGAGTTTGTGTTTGATAACAAAAAACTTTTATATTTTTAACAAATTTTGTACGTGAATTTGTTATATTTGAAATATAATAAACACGTAACACCTAGTAACAGAGAAAGGAATAAATGAAAAACTACGGCTTATTTATTGCTTTCCCTGAAATCAATTTGCAAATTTCACTTTCAATTTAATCATGCAAATCTTATCTGTCTCCCCTTAAATCATGAAACGCGACGTCGATACATTTTATGAATCTGGACATTACAGGTGTAATGCACATATTCCATAAAGAAATTTCCTCGCGCGTTCTGTGGTTAAGTCCGAGAGAAATAACGTGCATTTCTTAGCAAATCTCTCTCTTCGCACGCACGCACTCACGCACACACACAATACCGCACGCAAACACAACATGCGCATCTCTATCGAGTAGTATTTTATTCGAACAGATCGCCAATTGCATTCCGCTGGAGCTCGTCTCTCGCGATTGTTATTTCGTGTGTGCGATCTCGCAAGGAGCCACATTAAATTTCACGAATTGTATCTAGAAATGACTATTGAGTTTTCACAGTGCGAGCACGTATTTCTAAACTTCCCTCTTTGATTATCGTGAGAAATTGGAACGGAAGTTTGCTTGTGTCAGAAGGGAACGTATCGAGACAAAAAGAAAAAATAATGGTAAACGCCATTAAGTCGGCTAAAAACGACGCAGATTATATACTCAATTTTATTAATTTTGAAACATAAGAGAAACTATTTTCAACAATTCATATCTTGCCAATAACATATGTTGTCTAACAATGTATATTGAACATCTTAAAAATAACAAGAGTAATAAACATCCTCTCAATCCTCCGACACTCGTATAGACGTATATATAAATAAGGAAGCGTTATATAATCAACTAAAAAAAAAACGCACACAACTTGTTCGTGGCAAAATCCGATCTGCGCTGTAACCGCTTCTAATGAATGTATACCGCGGAACGTATTTTCAATTCCAATTGAAAAATTTAACACGTCTCGTCCTTAATCAAATTTCTCAATTGCGATATTATATTCGCATCTCGTATTTAGGGCGTATTTTTTTTGGTTATTTCCAGAAGTTCTTTCTCTACAATCGTTTAGTCTTCTTATTTGTCATTCTTTGAATGTGTCGAAATATCTAGACCTCGTTTCCTAGCCGGTCACTTCCATTTTACTTATCATAGGTAATGTTTATTGTTTATGAGATGTGTATATAAAAAAATATGAATCGTCTCGTTTCTTCTATTAGAGGTAGATACGCAGGAAACAGAAGCGATATTCTTACGTTATTTTTTTTCCATTTTTTTTCTTTTCTTTTTGGGTGCATTTGACATTATGCGCCAGGTCGTCTCTCTCGCGGTTCAAAAGCAATCTCCCCTCTCGCGCGAAACTCTCACGCGCTCGTTTAGGATGTAATCGCTTAAATCAGATTTCACAAAGTGCGCAACACAATAATCGTAACCACACACGTTAGAGCACACTTAGATGAAAAAAATAATCATGATTAATTATACCGCAAGAGAGAGAAACGAATTTCGGTTTAAACACGGACCTACAGATATTTTATAAAATAGTTACGTGGCATCTGGTGCAATAATCCAACAATTTCTACCTACGGCACTTAAGGTGCCAAACTAATTTTAATTTTACTTACATACATTTCTATAATATAATAAAATAATTAGCTGGTCTATATATATATATGTATATACATATATATATATAGATATACTACAAAGACACAAGAGCCTATAACAGTAGGAAGTTACAATTTTTTTTCCCTTACCTGACGATAAACACTTTTTTTTTTATTGCAAAAGAATTCGTGGTCTACATTTGGTTAGGTCCAAACAAAACTAACACTGGTTTTGTACGCGCACACGTATAAGGGTGTTTATGCAAATATATACAAATTATACTGGATTGAAAGACAAACTATAAAAAGAATGGAACGTTAATGGAAAGTTGTAATGTCTGCATATACAGCTATTTTATGTACATAAATTCGATAATGCAGATTAGCGATACAAATAATTAATGAGCGTTAAAATATTAATTGAAAGCATATTATAAACAAGAGTAATATCCGACTCCGCTTGTTCTTTTTCTTTTTGATAGGAAATGCGCCGTAATCTAACGGAACGTTGAATCTCTTGACTATTTCGCCGTTTTGCTCTAAATTGCTTTTTTATTGCGTCTCGCTAATACCTCTTAAAACGCAAGACGGAAAAGACGCTGTTACCGTTCCTCGAGCTTGATATCTCCGCTTACATCGAACGTCGTACGTTCACAACTGTTCTCTCATCACACTATTCAGCCAGTTTTTCACAGCATCGTTATTTTCAAATGGGTGAAAGATGATTTTATCGTTGATCAATCGATCGGGAAACATCTTGCATCGGAGGGCGTATCTCGAGCCAAGATGACGCGAATGTTTAATGACACGGATTCGTGTGAAACAGCAGCAACGCGACGACTGGCATCCCCGTAACACGCAGCAGTAACGTTCTCGATGACTGCGACGTTTCGCGCTAGTGTACATCGCCGGCCTGGCGTCAGTCGGAACTGCTGCTGCTATTGCCAAAATATTCTCCGGCGTCACCGCGGCATATCGGACATGTTCGGTTGGACTGTTAAATAAAATCAGATTGCAGAACGTAAGTATCCTCAAGTAATGTATCTTTAATTGATTTAATTTTAGTTAAGATCGCAATTGGGGACATGGGCGTCCGTGGGGGGGAGGGGAGAGGGGACAAGGAGGGACATTTGCCCTCCTCGCCCCTCTGAAATCAAACTAGTATAAGAAAATTCAGAATTTGCTCTC